CAGCGCCCTGAGACCAAATCTGCATGAGCACCTCAGCCAAGTCCAGACGCACCACCACCAGCTCTGCCCACAACCCCAACAAAAGCAAAGGGAAGGGAAGGATGGGAAAATACAATTTTCAGGAAAGCATCTACTAGTGAAATTCAAATCAGAGTAATGGTCACTGAGAGCACTTTTATTTTAAAATACTAAAGTACCAATCAATTACTGAGTATTTGATGTTAATTGATCATCTTCAACCCTCAGAAGGCATTACGGAATTCAAGTTTTCTCTTCACATCTGCCTTTAGCATGTCACAGTATTGCAGAATCACTACAACTAAAAGTTGAGTAAAGCTATAAGAAGCACAGCTAAACAGATAATTTTTTGTTTGTTTCGGGGTCATACCTAGCTGAGCAGAGGGCTGACTCTTGCCTCTCTGCTAAAGAATCTCTCCTGGCAGTGCTCTGGGAACCATACATGATACTGGGGATAGAACCAGGGTCAGTCGCATACAAGGCAAGTGCCGACCCGCCGTGCTACGGCTGTGCAAAGCCCTGTGCTAGCTCTCTAGCCCTACATGGATTTAATTATGGCAAAATATGTAAACTAAATCTTGCATTTTTTTAAAAAAAATTTTGCTTTTTGGGTCACACCCAGCGATGCACAGGGGTTACTCCTGGCTCTGCACTCAAAAATTACTTCTGGTGGTGCTCAGGGGACCAAACGGGATGTTGGGAATCGAATCCAGGTCGGCCACATGCAAGGCAAATCCCCTACCTGCTGTGCTATCACTTCAGCCCCAATCTTGCATTTTTATTCACATAAATATCCACTCTTGGGGCCAGCCGGATATTCTAGGGGAAAGGGCAGTTCAGATAGGGAAGGGAGCACCAAATAAAGGGTGTTAGGAGGATCCTCCCAGGAGGGGAGACGCATGTCGAAAGTAGACTATGGACTGAACATGTTTGCCACTCAATGCCTCTTTTGCAGACCACAACACCCAAAAGGAGAGAGAGAACACAGGGGATTGCCCTGCTACAGAGGCAGGGGGGTTCGGGGGATGGGGGTGGGGGGGATATCATCCATGGTGGTGGAAAATGGGCACTGGTGGAGGGATGGGTATCTGATCATTGTATAATCGAAACCCAAGCACAAAAAATAGTAAATCTACAACTGTACCTCATGGTGTTTCACTAATAAAAAAATTTTTTAAAAAATATCCACTCTTGGAGAATTAGTCAGTGTTGCACAACCATCATCCAAATTTCCAAAACAAACAGACGGTGAAATATTGAGGGTCCCACTGTACTTTTCTAATGTTCTCAGAGACACACTGGAATTGTTTTTAAGCTCAGAAACTCTGTGCACTACAAATCTAATTTCCTTTTCTTCCTCCCAAATATGCCTATCTATGGTTTTCATCGAAACCTGTGGACAGAAGAATCATTCTGAGCTTAACAACAACAACAACAAAATTTTCTTATGGCATGAGCTCTGTTCAGTCCGATACCAGTCCAAGGGGAAACGCTCTTTTCAAAGGCTCTGTTAAAAAAACTGCAACAAGTGTTGACAAGTAACAGTGGTTCCTCCAGGCCTCTCAGGGAGCA